AATTAGACAATTCAGGTGATACTAGCCTAAGTCATGTGTACAATGTAAAAACTGACAAGTAATTAGAAAATCAACCAAGTTAGGTTTCATATTGTGCTGTTTGCCTTTTTCTACACTTAATGTCCATCTTTTGTTGTGGCTGAAGATGATGGTGAGAGGGATGCTGCACAAATGTGTCACTAATGGCCACATTCAAATGTACTTGTTGAATGATTTCTCCTCAAAATCAAATTACATCCTCCTCTAAGAAAGAAAGGGAGAGAAAGAGAAAGAAAGAAAGAAAGAAAGAAAGAAAGAAAGAAAGAAAGAAAGAAAGAAAGAAAGAACGAACGCAAGCAAGCAAGCAGCAGATGGCATTATGGTTACATCGCTAGACTCCCATGTAGACAACAGTGTTTCAAGTCCCAGACCCAGTGGCAAATGTGTATGTGTGTACCCCAAATCCCAAGAGAATGGAAGAGAAGTGATTGTGTTGTGGCCATCCCCTCTGGGGCAGGGGTGGGGGTGATTTTTCACATTCTGTCTCTCCAGTGAGAGAATCTCTCTCTCTCTCTCTCTCAAAAAAAAAAGTTACATTCTTGACTTCTCTTTTCCAATTACATCTAGCTATAATTTTCTAGGTATTCTTACTTGAATATGGAATTAAAACTGGGGAAAATGTGACACTATCACTTGTATCATCAGATATTTTCTTGTTAATGATTCATTTACTGTCTTTCCTCACTAAAACTAAGATATATGTGAACAAAAGCCTTGTATTTTTCATTTACAATTTAATTTCCAGTGCCTAGAAGAGTCCTGGAGCATAGTAAATTCTTAAAAATAATGTATTTCAGTGAATGACTTCTTGTGGTCCTCAAGATTAGCTCTGATTAATTTTATGTTTCAGAAAGTTTATCCTAAAGCTATCATTTAAAAAACAATGATCAAAGTGGGGTCAGTAGGTAGCATAGTGGTAAAGGCGCTGGATTCCCACATGGCCTACCACAGTTCACAGCCCTTAACCATTGTGGTATGGGGCTGGCCTGCCTTTCCCATTTTTGAGTTCTCGTTTCTGAATCTTAAAAGTCATTTTGACTAAGGGTGAGTAATCATATATCTAGTACATACAGAATATCTACTAGTAGTGTTAAGTACTAGATTAGGTTCATCTTTAAATATTATAGATTGCCATCACAATCTTATATAATATACAAAGTTTATAGTCAAAGAATCAGTGCTTAGAAAGGAAATGTAACTTGGCTGACAACAAATAGCCAAAATGTAGAAGAGTCAAAACGATGAGTTCAATGGTGGTGCAGTGGTAAATGTGACACTCTGTGAGGCTGACCCACACAGGACTGTTTGTATCTGGAGTCCTCCCTGAGTACACTGAGCATGTATATACCCATGATTTGGGGTGAATTACAGCATCAGGACCCTGTTGGGGGTGCTGTCTCTCTGTTACTCTCTCTTTTTGTCTCATTCATGGAATAAATCTTTTTTAAAAGTAAAATCTGCTTTTTATCTTTCCAGTATGCCAAGCTGCCTTTTATAAAAAGGACTTGTCCAATTTTTCTCCTCAGATCATTAACATGGATGTGATATTTAAGCATATGAGTGTGTGCTTGAAATCAGTGTGTGTATCTATCCAGCATATGCTTAATGAACAGGTTACAGTTCTTCTTTCAAGTGGCTCAGGTGGACTGACTATCCTGGCTCCCAGGGGTAGGCATATGACCCAATTAGACAACTACTTCTCCTTGGCCACTATGGTTGATTTAGTCCTAGACATGCAATCAAAGTAAGTGATCAAAGCTAGACCAAATGAAAATCTTTGTGAAACGTGGGCACCAACGGTCATGTGAGCCTAAAGCTACCAGTGGTCATTTTAGTCACCAAAAGGAAAGAGTCTGATTGAGAAGAAATCAACAGGGACATAGCAAAAGAACAATTAGGAGATATAGAGACAGGGAGCAGCAGTTAGCGTAATGGCTATGTCGCTGGACTCCCATGTAGTCGACCACGGTTCGCGTACTGGGCCCCGTGGCTTAAAACTCATGCCAGGCGCGTGTGCGTGCGTTCCCAAGATCCCGAGAGGAGAATGGAGGAGAAGGGATTGCGGCATGGCCATCCCCCCTGGGGGGGGTGATTTCTCGCTTTCTGTCTCTCTGTCTCTCTCTGTCTGGCGAGCGCACGTGCCCTATAGCAAAAAAAACTCTCAAAAAAAGAGATACAGAGACAGAGGCAGGCAGAGATGTGGAAAGAAAAAGGAGAGAAGAGAGTAAGAAAAAACTAAGTACAACTTACACCCATTGAGTTTCTGGATTCAACTCTGTCTGAAGACAATGACACTAGGAGTACACATGTCCAAAGTCAGTATATTTATTTTGACCTATTTCTGGTTATATTTCTGTCACTTGTCCCTCAGAGAGTTGTAATATAGAAAATGTGTATAGAAAAACAATATTTCAATAGCACAAACTTTTCTTCTAGCTAATTGTTGTCTAAAATTAAAGCAAATATTTAACAACCTAGCTAAGCAACCTTTTAATAATATCTACAAAAGCTTCATGGAAATGTAAAGAACTAAAACCCATAATTTAACACTTTTAGATTCATTATAAAAAGAGCATTCTATGTTCTAATTTATTTGGCTCAGCAATATGTGAGTCCTATTTCCCATATAAAACTAGAAGTAAAAATATCCTAAAGAAATTGAATTCATATGCCTCTCATGTACTTTATAGTTAATTCAGCCAACAATTTATTCATTCAGTCAATGAGTCATTTATTCAAGCATTTAAGAATAGAAATCATGCTAATTGCTAAAGTCAAAATGAAAAAGAAAAGGAATAAAGTCTTTCTGTCCTAACTACACTCAGTCCAGAAGAAGAGGCATATCAAGAAATTAAAAACGAATTTCAATATAATGCATAATAACTAATACTTGTTAGTTTTTTTTTTGTATTTGTCAGACACTGTTTTAAGCCCTGTGTGTGTAATATCTTAGTCAATCCAGAAAAAAAAAATATATATAATTTACATATCATTATCACAAACCCTATTTTTCAGATGATGACATTGAGGTTAAGTTACTTTCCCAAGGTCACACATTTAATGAGCAGAAACTCAATGATCATGAACTGCAAGATGTCTCTTTTAGCCAGTACTATATTCTCGTAGTGCTATAGATTTTCATTTAGCATTGAGAATACTAATCTTTTTTCCTTTAAATCAAAAAATAAGGTTAAAAAGGCAAGCATTCTTATCTCTTTGACAATAGTTTAGGATAAAGTAGTCCATACTCCACTTAAAATTTAAGATTGACATTGATCAATTGAATTTTAAACTTCAAAATTTACCTATATTATTGTATATTCTGATAGAAATATAAAAAATGTATATAGGACCAGCAGTTGGTGTAATGGCTATGTCACTGGACTCCCATGTAGTCGACCGTGGTCCAAGTCCCAGAACCGGTGGCTTAAACTCATGCCAGGCATGTGTGCGTGTGTGCCCAAGATCCCGAGAGGAGAATGGAGGAGAAGGGATTGTGGTGTGGCCATACCCCCTGGCAGGGGGGGGATTTCTTGCTTTCTGTTTCTCTGTCTCTCTCTGTTTTTCTGGTGAGTGCATGCGCCCTATAGCAAATCCTCTCCAAAAAAAAAAAGTATATAGGTATTTGCATAAACATTTCATACATTTAGAAATCTTATTTTTAAGGTAGTGCAGTCAAATTTCCAAAGCCATGTTACAATATTAGAATACGTTTGGGGAACCAGCAGTTGGCATAATGGCTGGGTCGCTGGACTCCCACGTAGTCGACTGCAGTTCGCGTCCCAGACCCGGTGGCTTAGAACTCACACCGGGCGTGTATGTGTGCGTGCCCAAGATCCCAAGAGGAGAATGGAGGAGAAGGGATTGCGGCATGACCATCCCCCCTGGGGGGTGACTTCTCGCTTTCTGTCTCTATGTCTCTTTCTGTCTGTCTGGCGAGCGCACGCGCCCTATAGCAAAAACCTCTCCAAAAAAAAAAGAATACGTTTGCAATGTTGGGGCTCAGAGCAAAATACCCTGAAGTAGGATTCCTTGTACATGTCTTTTTAAAACAAAAGAATGTAAAGTTATTCACAGGTAAAGTGAAAAGGCAGAAGGATATGGCTTTATGTAGTTTCAATACAGGTAATTGACTACAGATGTCAGGCTGTAAAAAAGTAACAGCTATAATTCAGATACATCTTCATAAATTTGCAAAAAGTATGTTGCTATTCTATATTTTGGAATAATTTACATACATATCATGTATATCTTTAAATATGAGAAAATAAGGGAAAACTTTTTATTAACTGGCATTTTTTCAAAAGCTAAAATCAGCCCTGACATTTTTTCTTTTCTTTTTTTTTCCTTCAATTTCCAGAGGGTGTGTGAGTTTACCAGAGAGAGAGAGAGAAGAAAGAGGGAGAGAAAGCACTCCACAGTGGGGTATGGTCACACTGTAACCTCTTGTCCTCCATGTCTCCATTCTGTCCCGATATGGGGTGTGCATGCACACACGCAGGCATGTTTTTCAAGCCAGTGGGTCTGAGATTTGAACCACATGGTTGGCCATGTGGAATTTGGCTATGGGGCAGCCTCTGCCATTGACAGACACTTCTCTAACTCAACATTTATAAATTAAATATACTTTCAAATACAGGCAAAAAATAAAGAGGAAAAAATGGCTGTCAGAAAGTCTGTGTTCTTTGTTCTGTAAGAGGTATAAAAAGCCAAAGACCTCTGGCCAAGGCCATCAGTGCAGAAAAATAAAATCAAGCAGTCTGATTTGCTTATTGCCTCTGATAAACTATGGTTCTTCCGGATTTCAGAGTTGTAGCCTCCAAATCAGCAGTAGAATACATTTGTTATTTTAAACCAGCAAGTTTGTGGTAATTTGTTATAACAGCCTCACAAGACTAAAACACTAGAACATAATGGTTTGATATGTTTTTGAAGTTACCTAATAGCTAAAGAATTATTTATTGGGTTGTCAGGAAAGTCATGACGCATTTTTGCACAGAAAAATACATCATGACTTTCCCAATGACCTAATCATTAAATGAACTCAGTATTAATTGAATACCTACTATCAGCTAGTTTATCCTTTAAATCTAGGCAGAGAACTTTGTGAGCTAGTGCTATGATACTACACTTGATCTTTGCCAAAAGGCAAAGAAGTGATATGAGCTAGTGCACTGAAGAATTCTCAAGGGGATCTTCTGCTTTTAAAGACCTTAATATAGTATCTTGAAAAAATAATTTTATGTTACTTGGTTTATTTTTAATTTTTTTAGTTTAGTTAATGGTTTAATGTAGAAATTAATAATGATATGAGGCCTGGTGATAGTGCAGTAGTAAAATACAGTGTTCTGTAAGGTTAGTCTATACAGGAAAGTTCTAAGTTCATAGCCAGAAATCTCCCTGGATATGCTGGGCAGCTGAGTGTCCATGATCCAGAGCTGGCTGAGTCTGAGGATGGATTGCCATGTTAGGACTTAGCTGGGGATGCTGTCTCTTTCTTTCTCTCCCATGGAAGAAATAAAATTTTTAAAAAATTAATAATAATAATGATTTTTTCCAATCACCTATAATAATAAACTTACTGAACACCACACCACAAGACAAATATTGTATTATTTTTCTTTATATATGTGATCTCTTATGGTAATAACCCTATGAGGTACGTACTACTGTTATCTATTTTATTGAGCATGAAGTTAAGAGTCATTAAGCCAAGTTACTTTTCTAAAGTCATAAATCTAATAACTTTAGTACTCTATTTTCAAAGCCTGTGCTACACTTTATAATCCACCTCTTTTGACACTATATTTCAAAAATCACTCTCACATTTGTGTGGACAAAAAAAGAATATACATGAAACAAGATGTTAAAATTGAAGTTGGATCTAGGCATCACATTACAACAGATGCAAAATACTAGTGTGAGTTACAAATCACTAAATGGAGATTTTCAAAGGAAATGGGTAAGCATCTGTTCCTCACTCTTGAACTCCTTGATGACTTTCAGATTTTTAAACTGTTTAAGAAAGTGCAAAGGCAGGATTTTACACAGAAATTTGTTTGGAAAGAGCTGTTGTTTGTTTCTTTGTGGAATAATTAAATGTTCTCACTCATCATATTTAGCCTATTAAAGGGGTCTTCTATGAGGACCTCTTGAAATCTACTGAATGTGTTCTTAGCATTTGAGTAACACAAAGGAATGGAGGTCACCTCACAGCTGAGGCACAGGAACTGCCCCAGCAGGAGAGATGAGGCCATGTTCCAAAACTTACAGGGAAAAGAATATGTGAATATTTTCTTTGCACTGATTGTGTCTATAAAACCCATTTTCCCAGAACCTACCCATTTTATGCCTGTTGTTCGATCATAATTATTATTATTACTAACTCTTTTCACTCACAAAAGTGACTCAGTTAGAATGATAAATTATATGATCATACCAAAGGAGAAACACAGAAAATAGAGCCAACAACAGGTTGACTTGGGTTCTGCCCAATGGTCAACTACCAGAGTAGAAGAATTTGTTCTCAGAAATAAGAAACCTAGAAGTGAAGCCTAGATCTGTTAAAAAAGAAGTAGGGGCGGCCAGCAGATGGTGTAATGGTTAAGTCACTGGATTCTCATGTAGTTGACGGCAGTTCGAGTCCCAGACCTGGCAGCTTAAAACTCATGCTGAGCATGTGTGTGCTCAAAATCCTGAGAAGAGAATGGAGGAGAAGGGAATGCAGCATGGCCAACCCTCTGGGGAGTGATTTCTCACTTCTGGCTGTCTCATTGGCAGGTCCTACAGCAAAAATCTCTCTCTAAAAGGAAGGAAGGAAGGAAGGAAGGAAGGAAGGAAGGAAGGAAGGAAGGAAGGAAGGAAAAGGAAAGAAGAAAAGAAAGGAAAAGGAAAAGAAAAAAAAGAAAAGAAGTAAGGGTGCTAGCATGTGGTGCAGTGGTTAAGGTGTTGTATTTCCACATGGCCAACCATAGTTTGAGTCCCAGTCCAAGTGGTTTGAAAATCACACTGGGCACATATGCATGTGTGTCCAAAAAGAACATAAATGAATAAATAAATAAATGAGAAGACTAATGAGATCACTTAAAAAATAAAGAGGCCTGCCTGTGTCAAGAATACTTCAGGGGACAGAGAAAGAACACACTGAAACAGCCATTAGGCCTAGAAAGCTCTTTATGATCACCCCTGCCAAAAGGCAAAGAAGTGATATGAGCTAGTGCACTGAAGAATTCTCAAGGGGATCTTCTGCTTTTAAAGACCTTAATATAGTATCTTGAAAAAATAATTTTATGTTACTTGGTTTATTTTTAATTTTTTTAGTTTAGTTAATGGTTTAATGTAGAAATTAATAATGATATGAGGCCTGGTGATAGTGCAGTAGTAAAATACAGTGTTCTGTAAGGTTAGTCTATACAGGAAAGTTCTAAGTTCATAGCCAGAAATCTCCCTGGATATGCTGGGCAGCTGAGTGTCCATGATCCAGAGCTGGCTGAGTCTGAGGATGGATTGCCATGTTAGGACTTAGCTGGGGATGCTGTCTCTTTCTTTCTCTCCCATGGAAGAAATAAAATTTTTAAAAAATTAATAATAATAATGATTTTTTCCAATCACCTATAATAATAAACTTACTGAACACCACACCACAAGACAAATATTGTGTTATTTTTCTTTATATATGTGATCTCTTATGGTAATAACCCTATGAGGTACGTACTACTGTTATCTATTTTATTGAGCATGAAGTTAAGAGTCATTAAGCCAAGTTACTTTTCTAAAGTCATAAATCTAATAACTTTAGTACTCTATTTTCAAAGCCTGTGCTACACTTTATAATCCACCTCTTTTGACACTATATTTCAAAAATCACTCTCACATTTGTGTGGACAAAAAAAGAATATACATGAAACAAGATGTTAAAATTGAAGTTGGATCTAGGCATCACATTACAACAGATGCAAAATACTAGTGTGAGTTACAAATCACTAAATGGAGATTTTCAAAGGAAATGGGTAAGCATCTGTTCCTCACTCTTGAACTCCTTGATGACTTTCAGATTTTTAAACTGTTTAAGAAAGTGCAAAGGCAGGATTTTACACAGAAATTTGTTTGGAAAGAGCTGTTGTTTGTTTCTTTGTGGAATAATTAAATGTTCTCACTCATCATATTTAGCCTATTAAAGGGGTCTTCTATGAGGACCTCTTGAAATCTACTGAATGTGTTCTTAGCATTTGAGTAACACAAAGGAATGGAGGTCACCTCACAGCTGAGGCACAGGAACTGCCCCAGCAGGAGAGATGAGGCCATGTTCCAAAACTTACAGGGAAAAGAATATGTGAATATTTTCTTTGCACTGATTGTGTCTATAAAACCCATTTTCCCAGAACCTACCCATTTTATGCCTGTTGTTCGATCATAATTATTATTATTACTAACTCTTTTCACTCACAAAAGTGACTCAGTTAGAATGATAAATTATATGATCATACCAAAGGAGAAACACAGAAAATAGAGCCAACAACAGGTTGACTTGGGTTCTGCCCAATGGTCAACTACCAGAGTAGAAGAATTTGTTCTCAGCAGTAAGAAACCTAGAAGTGAAGCCTAGATCTGTTAAAAAAGAAGTAGGGGCGGCCAGCAGATGGTGTAATGGTTAAGTCACTGGATTCTCATGTAGTTGACGGCAGTTCGAGGCCCAGACCTGGCAGCTAAGTCACTGGATTCTCATGTAGTTGACGGCAGTTCGAGTCCCAGACCTGGCAGCTTAAAACTCATGCTGAGCATGTGTGTGCTCAAAATCCTGAGAAGAGAATGGAGGAGAAGGGAATGCAGCATGGCCAACCCTCTGGGGAGTGATTTCTCACTTCTGGCTGTCTCATTGGCAGGTCCTACAGCAAAAATCTCTCTCTAAAAGGAAGGAAGGAAGGAAGGAAGGAAGGAAGGAAGGAAGGAAGGAAGGAAGGAAGGAAAAGGAAAGAAGAAAAGAAAGGAAAAGGAAAAGAAAAAAAAGAAAAGAAGTAAGGGTGCTAGCATGTGGTGCAGTGGTTAAGGTGTTGTATTTCCACATGGCCAACCATAGTTTGAGTCCCAGTCCAAGTGGTTTGAAAATCACACTGGGCACATATGCATGTGTGTCCAAAAAGAACATAAATGAATAAATAAATAAATGAGAAGACTAATGAGATCACTTAAAAAATAAAGAGGCCTGCCTTTGTCAAGAATACTTCAGGGGACAGAGAAAGAACACACTGAAACAGCCATTAGGCCTAGAAAGCTCTTTATGATCACCTCTTTCTGTCCCTTGCCTACTTTAATATTTGACCAGTCAGATGGGTTGGTAATCTGTGGGTGGGAGAGAAGACTAAGGTAGAAAATGAAAGGTATTATTCTTGTCTAGAGCAGTCCTAAGCTGGGGGGGGCGGACATACAATTTAACACTAAATCAAGTTCTGAGTTTTAGATGCTACTTTGGAGTAGAAGTTCTAATACTGAATGAATACATATGTGTTAGCGTGACCATAGGGGTCTCTACTAACCAAATGTCAACAGGAAATTGATTACCCCTACTAAATAAACCTTAAAAGACTATGAGGAAACAAAAATGAAAGAATATTTGACTGTTTTAAATGGTTTGCTTGTTCAAAATCCTGATTACATATACATTTTTAAATAGCTTTATTGAGATTTAACTCACATACTCTATTATTCATCCGTTTAAAGTATATAATCCAATGGTTTTTAATATATTCATAGGGTTGTACAACCATCTCTACAATGTAATTTTAGAGTTTTTTCCCAAAAATACACCCTTCACTTCTCTTTTTCTGCAGCCTCCATGACCACCACCACAACCACCAGCTCTAAGCAACCACATATATAATTTCTGTCTGCATAGATTTGCCTGTTCTGAACGTTTCATATAATGGAATCATACAACATGTGGCCTTTTAAGAATGGTTTCTTTATTTTTTGTTTGATTTATTTGATTTTGTTTAGTTGCCAGAGGGTGCATGCACTCACCAGAGAGTGAGTGAGAGAGAATGAGAAAGAGAGTGAAAGATCACCCCCCCCAATGGGGCATGGTTCTTTTCCCTCCATTTACCTATCCATCAGGATTTGGGGCACATATGCACCTAGAGCATTTTTCAAGCCACTGGGGCTGGG